AAACAGAACGAGCGAGCACAGAAACTTCATAAACCATCTGCAGCAAATCGCGTTAACGTAGATAACCCGATTGTCGTATAAAATTTTTGATTGAGTAAATAGTTGTTGTGAAGCAGTTAGGGTAAAAATGGTATAAGGTATGATTATGCTAACAGAATAACGGTAAGCTTGGCTTGCAAAACTCGGGCCGAGCAATATCGAATGCGCACTTGACTCGATCATCTGTTCTTGGCACTTTTGTTGTGTGCGAAGTTATGGATTGCTGTCGTCGAATCAGTTTTTCACGCGAGATAAAAACTGCGTTGCATTTATAATATCATTACCGTGTGAACAAAAATATAAATGCAAATAAGAAGAAAAAGAAAATAAATAAATAAAGCAAACAATAATCCAAGTAAATTATTCTCAATTTATGTATGTAACAATTAAAGTGCCACAACTGAACACTTCTTCGCACCACTTTATAGATATGCTTCAATAGTCCTTCAATCCCCATTTTAATGTTTCCCAACAATATTTGAAAAGTTAATTATTACCTTAAGAGAATTTACATTTCCGTCATTACTAGGATGAGATCGCCTTTGCATGCATTAATTCTGCGACAACATTTTCATCGTCGGATGAAGTTTCACTCGACACGGACAAAAATAATATACGTTGTCGTGTCGAGTTGCTTTAAACTCTCTACTTGACGCACCGAGTCGAAAGTTGACGCGATTTCGACCGCCATAAACCCAAACGAAGGAATGAATGTCGAGGTTATTCGACGTCGATTGTTACAAATCGATTCCTGTGTTCTTGTTTTCATTCGTTCAACCCTAGCGACCACTTTTTGCGGTGCAAAAATGAAACCAGTCGTAAGCTTCTTATAAGAGATTGTTATTAAGGAATTTTACTCTAGTTACTTATATTGTACTTAGCTTAAAGATGCACATTCTTCTCTGGAAGATCAAGTATTGAGCTTCATGGGAGATATTAGGCGCTGTTCGACCACGATGATAGGATCGAGTTTGCCTTTCCGTTCATTTTATTTACAACGGAATGTTTATGATACCACGTGTGTTGTGCTATAACAAAACAATGCAAAGAATAGCGAGAAAGGGAAATGAAATATGAAATTTGAGGAAGAAATTATTGAAAAAATTGGATATCATCGGGTCAAGCAAAGTTTAGCAAATTGATTATATCATCTTTTACTTGAATTGTCAAATTCTTTTTCCTTGATAGCTGACTTGACATTGATACCTTCTGTATCTATGGTGTGTCTCTCTTCGTCCATTTGGTGTTTTGCCTTGTTCACTATGTGTTCTTCTTCTGATATTTCCAACGACCGTCCCTCCATGGCAAGCATTTTCTTGACTGTTGTCATCATGCAGTTGTGGAGTTCGTCTGTTTCCTCTGCCTGTCTATATATCGATCGAATAGGTGCTGAAGTTCACACGAGTTTTCTCGTTCATTTCATATTCAATTCTTTCTATGCAAGTTTTACGGCGCCAATAGGTAAAAGCATCGAAAATAATTTTATTATACATATACATATATTATTTTATTATGATTTGATTATTTTTTTCAACGTTTTGAAATTTTTGAGATTAAGTAACCTTTCCGTGTCCATTAATTTACCTTATCTCCCTTTTGGACATGAAGTTGCTTTCGAGCTGAAATTGTCAGTGGTCTGCGTTCGATATCGAGCAAACACTCATACGCTATCGGCCCTAGCTTTCTATGGATATTTATCTTTTAACAACATTATATCTCGTAAATTGAGTATCAGTTAAGTAAAATATATTCGATGATAGATTGATCGATGTTGTATGTGTCATAAAAAAGATTGTCATTCATCTTTCATAATAACTGTAAACAATTTTTTTTAATAACATTGAGCTTAAACGTGTAAAAATATTTTCGCAAATGACATAAAAATAATTGCATAAATAAAAAGAAGACAACAGCAATAAATTGAAATAAAAACTCAACGCTTTCACACGTTTTCTTTCTTAATATGACTGTTATAACAAACCAATCGATTGCGACAAATTTGAAAAAAGAAGAAAACGAATAAATAAAAAGCAATGAAACAGTACTACGAACGTGAGCATTAATTTTTCGTTAATTGCTCGCAATGCAAATTAAGCGCCTGTTGAAAATGTTTATCAGGTAATGAGCGTAAACTATAGTTGAAAAACAAAACAAAAAAAAAACGAAATAATAGAGTGAGGGCAACGTTTTCAGGAGTACCATTGTGACCCCTTCTCTCCTTCTCTCTCCATCTCTCTCCCTCTCCCTCACACACACACACACACACACACACTCTTATGGTAGAGTAGTTGTTCTTATTCTTGAAAAGCAAGAAGTTTGGATATAGTTTTAAGGTGCTTTTAAGAAGACGTAACGGTTTTGCTTTCCTTTCTCATCCGCGATTGTCTGGGATTTTTGTAAACACTCCTTCTTCGTCTCAACCGTATGCCGTCCAGCTACTTCTAAGGTGCGACTAATGTGTTTTAAAAGTCTTAATCAGTAAATTTTCACGATTTTTCTCCCGAAAGCCCAGCAGAAGGGTACTAAACTATGGACTCAAGTCGAAAATGCTTTCATGCACGTTTGTTGATTTGTTTAAAAGAAAATATCTAATTGTAATGATATTAATAGATAGATGCTAATTGAAGATTATTTTCTAGATTAACGTTCATGATGAAAAGGTGTTAATTATAATGTATCGAATGATTCGAATTGTTACACCTTACACCACCTACGATAGAAGAGCATATTAAGTTTGTATGCATATGTTCCTGGGACCACTACATTTTTCGCTCAATCTAGAGATCGCAAATTTCAAATTGCTTTGGTTCAATTTGGTGCAGTGGGATATTTTACCCCAAAGACGGGTGTAACCAGTTCTTACCAGTACTCCACACACAAAAATTTGTTCATTACCATATTTCATCTAAAAGTAGCATTTTCTCGTACCGAATAATTGTGTTCAGGTGATCTGAATTTCCTTTAATTTGCTGTCATTTCAAAATTTTTTACAAACAATAAGTAACAAAGTTGACTCTGATGAAAATTGGTCAAATATATATAAATACATGCCTGTATATATAAGGTGGCATTGCTAAATTCAGACCACATAGTAGGTCTACCTTTCGAATCTGTCCCCTTTATAAGCAACAAAATATCCATTTTTTTTTTTCATTTTATAATTAAAGTTAGACGGCGCCGTGCAAGGGTATTCCTTCTTGCGTGACTACAGAGTTGTGAATATGAACTGGTAACAAAATTATGTTCGGCCTTGAGCGAATCTTTTATATTTAAACAAGGTAAATGCTAAATTGTGATACTCTATAATATCGGATGAATCTGGTTGACTTTTCCCATTTTTATAAAATAAAAGTAGAAATTTTTATCAGATGTCTAATGTAGCTTAGAGGTAATGGGTAGAAGACATGCAAAGTGAAAGTTTTCTCAATTTTTGCTGCATGTCTAGATGTTTCGGCTATTTTTAAGCTCTTTCGCCAAATTTAAAAGCGACATCATTATTTTTGCGAAAAAAAGAACTTTTACCACAGATCAGTCATAGTTAGACAGACGGACAGATGGACGGATGGATTTGATGCTGGTCAAGAGTGAACATCCTTTATGGGGTCTTTGAAGCGTACTTCTGGGCGTTATAAACGTTTTGACAAGAAAATAAAATTATGGGCCACTATAATATCGGGTAAGCATAACCAATTTTGTTCTGGTTTCGTGCAGGTAGCGTAGCATTGCCAACACCGCGTATATTCAGATTTTTATAGGTTCATCCTTCGCAGCTTATGAATAATGGTATGAATAACGGTCAAATTTGTTTTTCCTTTGGAAAATAGACATGCTCTCAATTTACGTGTTACTATATAAGCCTATTCCTTCGATCTATTTGGCTTGTTTTCTATCCCAACCGCGCGCGCAAGAACTTCCACTATTTCTGCTTAATTTGAAACCGATTTTGCGGCCAGAAGAATGTTTACAAGACATATTTCGAGGACTGCGAGACGAACAGATTGACAGGCGGGCATACCGACATGCTTAAATCAATTCGGAATTTGATGTTAATCAAAAGTATATCTATATATGCCAATGAGTCTCTGAAGCTTACCTCTGAGTGTTGTATAAATTCTGACAAGTTTAATATATCTCTCATCCTTTGGTAATGGATATAGCAATGGAACTACTATTTCATTTAGTACAAATATTTTATAACATATTTTACTTTTGCTGAAATAATCGAATAAAGGCATTGGCATTGCTCTGCATTGATCATAATTCCAAGTGTAGGGCAAATTTATTGAAGCATTTAGCGAACACAAAATTTAAAATTCCTTAATGTGAAAAAAACGACTATGTTTGGTACATGTTTTCGTACATATAAAATTATATGTATACCATAACGCACGTATATACGCTTTTGCATAGAATATTTAACTTTTTAAAAATGAACAGAAATTCAAATACTTCAACACACGACCGATTATCGATTATTTAAATTTTTGATCAACTTTAGGAGAGAAGAAAAGATAAATCACCGATCATACTACCTTAATTTTAAGAATCGATTTTAGAATCGAATTTTGCAATATGAATAATACGGTACACTTACAGCACTCGCCCTTCTAAAGTGCCAAAATTTAATAAATCAAATGTAAACGTTTTCTTCCTTTAGCAGAGTCTTCGCCCATATAAATGACCGAAGATCAAGTAGTCGAATCGCGGCTAACTAACAGCGCTGATGGAGCATTTATCTCTCCTTGAACGTCTCCTGACTAGTTTTATTCAATTCTTAGAGACCTGGCGTTCGATTTTCGCACATTTTTGAACATTTTGTGTTAATTCTTCGCATATATTCGTACAAGTGCTTTTATATAATATATAATCTTATATATAAAAAAAGAGCATTTATCTCATCGTACCATAATGGATGGCTATGTTATTGTTATTACTGCCGTCTTGATTTTGGGTTACTTTCAGTAAAGAATGTTTACACCGCTGCATGTCACGTAAAGGGTTTCACTTGCAAATGGAACCCTGTCAAATGCTGCAGCAATCCATTACGCGATTTAAATGCTCGATGACATGGTCCGCAGGTATGTTTCCGCTTTTCAGTATGGGTTATTTTGTGCTGACGTAAACTGTTCCCATTACTAAAGTTCTTCGAACACACCAAACATTCAAATTTAAGAAACTCATACTGGTATTGCTTCTTATTGAGAGTCTTCGCTTGGCAGCATTGAATTGATCGTAAAGAAGCATTTACTGTGTTTCTGATTTTGGGAAAGTTTTTGAGCGATTTTATAGTCGGCTGTGATTGCAATTGCTCAACATTTTGTTCCAGATTTTGACATTTATTTTGCAACTTTTTGCTGAACCTTCTCAACTGTTGATAATGCAGAGCCATTGCGTTTAAATTATAATGCAAAGAACGTGTTCTTCTCGGCATTTGACATTTATTACTTATCAAAATTGTCTTTTGCTGCTTGGTAGGAGCGGGATCACAATTACTCAAAATTGATTCAGGTGGTTGTAAAACGTCGTGGTGTTTCACTATTTAAATTTGCTGGTCTGCAGACTTGATATCAGTTTCAGTTTTGCAGGTATTGTCTTGATTTTTCTCCAAATTGATGCTTGCCACACTTACCATTGGAGTACCGTGGGTTTGTGTGTAATGTTGTTTTAAGGATTCCACGCTAAAAAATTTCATTTGGCACACCATACAAGCATGCAATTGAAAACCGTTGCCGGATTTTACTATACTTTCGTTGAGTACGACAATACCGTTTGGCTTGATAGGTTGTTGAATGGCACTAACCGAAGTTACTATGGGTTTCACAGCTCGATTTTCACGCGTTATATCAAAATCGTCTTGCGATAAAGTTAGCACTAGTGTTGGCTTGGTTGTTAAAGTATGTTGATAGTGACTTACGCATACTCCTCCATGCTCTTTCGGCTACTTTTATTGACAAGTATTATTAAAGAAGGGCGCGCGAACACCAAAATTATTGAAAAATGTAAACAAACATATACGCTTATTCTCTAAAGGCACCATAGTTTATGCGCTTATTCTTTAAAGGCTTTAAAAAAATATCCGGATCAGATTCATATACAGTCGAAGTTTGTGGAGGTTTACCTCAAGTTAGCTGTCTCAGCCCAGTTCTTTTCAATCTATACACAGCCGGCTTACATGGATTACAGGACAATACTACCCATTCATTTCAATATGCTGACGATTTTCTCATCATCTCTGCCGGAAAATCATTAGTAGAAGCAGTCCGTAACCTCGACATTAAAGCCAATCTTTTTCACAGACATTGTGCAGACTTAAATCTAACTTTCAACCAGGAAAGATCAAAAGTCATCCGCTTTGCTAACGGTCCCAAAAATTTTTTTTACATTACAATCAATGGTATAAAAATCAGTCAGTCTTCCTCTTTTAAATTTTTGGGCAGAATAATCAACTCAAGTTTAATCACTCATGAGCATCACAGGGACAGCCTCGAAAATTGCAACACAGGCTCAAATGTCATCAAACTTCTGACTAACATTCACACCGGACTCCCACCTAGGAACGTTTACAAATCTATTGTTAGATCCAAAAATCTTACTCTACATCGTGCAATGCTCCTGCGTATACATTAAAAAAAATACAAACCTTTCAACACTCAATCACCAAACTTGTAGAGGACAGCGCTTTATAGCTCTATAAAAGTCTAAATTAAAGTAGTAGTGTAGTCTAGTTTCCAAACAAGATGATAATTGATAGTCTTAGTTCCATTTCCTTAGGTTGAAGTTTAAGAAAATTACTGACTCAAATGATTGTTCGTTCACAAATACGCTTAAAGTAGCAAAAAGCAAGAAGATTCAATATAGTTCGATCAATTTTATCTACGCGATTAACCAAGTAAATAAAGAGATCGGAACTTGTGGACCAATTAAAAGAAGTGAAACAACTAGTGGCGACCAATTTAATTTCTAATCAAACTTTTACTGTCAACATTGGGCTTTTTCTCTCCGAAACTCGAACTAATTCAAATATGGAATCTGATATTTCCAGACGCCTTGCTGTAAAAAATTTTACAAATGTCGTTTCTGCCACGATGAAAACGAATCTCATCATTTCGATCGCAAGACCCTAACGGAACTGATCTGCGCTGAGTGCAATGCGCGACAAAAAGTCCAAGAACGTTGTCAAAATTGTGGGACCCTATTCGGAAAGGTAAATGCGGCAGCTTTAAGCAAATCCAGATCCGCTTATCTAAGCTAATAAATAATGATATCTGAATAGCCTCCGTTTCTTCCTATTTTTCCAGTACACGTGTTTGATTTGCAACTTGTTCGATGACTTGGACAAACAACAATATCATTGCGCTGAATGTGGCATCTGCCGTATTGGAGGAAGAGAAAATTTCTTTCATTGCAAAGTCTGCAATATGTGCTTACCCATGCAAATGAAGACTCAAGGACATAGGGTAAGAGCACGGTAGTATCTTTACGTAAAATCAGTTACACCTTCTTCTTCCCGAGTGAAAGTGGGCTCGTGAAAACCCATGATTTTAGTGCATGCTTTCAACGACTTATTTCCAGCTAGAAAGCATCGCAAACACAAACGAATAAAGAAAAAGCGTCGAACTTCTTTCAATATGTTTAGAATGTTTATCGGCCTGTTAGGCTAATCGGTGTTCACGCGAATTAAATCAAACCGTGGACAACTACAGGATTACGAATCCTGTCGTAATATTGAAAAATTCATTGTTTCGATACTTTTTATCACGAATTTATACGTCCATTAACGCGTCTACGTCGACTTTCCAGGCATACGCATATTACCCTATTGGGTCAAAACGCAGAGTACACTTTTTGTTTAAGCAGTGATCAAAGCCTTTACTGATCGCTTTCCATTTGTATTTCCAGTGTATTGAAAACATATCGCGATCTCATTGCCCCGTATGTTTGGGTGACATACATACTTCACGTATACCGTGCCATATACCCTACTGTGGTCATTTGCTGCATGGAACATGCTTCGATCAATTGCTCGAATTCGGCCATTACACTTGCCCCGTGTGTCAAATGTCGCTAATCGATATGACAACCCTGTGGGAATATTTAGATATTCAAGCAAAGTTAATACCAACGCCGGAGAAATATGAAAAAGAAAGATTTCACATATTCTGCAATGATTGCCACAAGGTGCGTAGAGAAGCCCACAAACTATCTAACATTTTAAAAACATGACTTTCCATCTCTCAAAGACTTCAAAGGCCAAATTTCACTTTATTGGTTTAAAATGTTGTTACTGTGGAGCTTACAACACAACACAAAACGTTCAAAAACGCCTTTCCTTAGTCGCAGGTAATAAAAATAAAAACATTGCTTTCAATCTGCACACATTATAATAATAGCATATGATTTTTTCCTCCACTTTTCCTATCAGATGGACGAAGCACGGCTTGACGGCGTATAAGAATTGCATTTATTTTATGAACACTTATTTATTGAGATAAGAAATAATTTTTCGAAGTGCGTCTACAAATATATAAAAGCGAAATCATGTTTGGATGAATTTTTGGTAGAAGAAAAAGAGGATTAATTGTGGGCGTGTCAATCTGACGATTGAGATCACCTCCAGACTGACTTTGAGAGTTGCGACGGCTTACGTTGCCAATCCCGAAAAAACCCCGTGATCAACTAAGTCTTTAAATGGATTTTAATTGCCAATCGATGCGTTAACCCAGCCCTGCCTAATAAACAGTTCATGCCATTCTTGACGATTTTCAGAGTTTATTTTAGTCAAAATCAGGTTTCTAAACTTATCAACGTTGGACTGACTGCTCATGAGCTGAATCAAGAAAAAAGGAAAAAATTATATTTTACATTTTCGCTAAAATCGACAAGTGAAGATAACTTGAATGGGTTTTTTCTAATTAACGCATTCATTTAAATTAATACCAGATGCTCTTAGAGCTTAAGGTCACTGTATATTTGTCAGAACACTTATCTAATTTTTTTTTTGTTTGAATTAAATGATCCGTTAAATAGTCAAGAATGATATAAAAAGACAACTGTGGGCGTGGAAAAATTTTAAAAGTGTAAAAAATTGATCCTTCGAATATAAACGTACGGCAGCGTAAAGGCACGTGAAACATTAAGTGGGTTTTTTTCGGCAGACGATTTTTTAAGACCGTCCAAGCAGTGATTGGTACGATTTTCATTCTTTCCGTGCGAAGTTATCTTTAAAACGACTTTCCGCAGGCAAGTACCTATGATTTTTTCGATTAGTCGATTGAAGTATTTTTTGTTAATAGAAAGGCGCCTTTTTTGGCTGATTTCATTTTAAAAGTCTTTATGTCCTACACCTCTTGTAAGACCTATTAGGTTTGTGCGAGCTGACCTTGTCTGTTTGTCTGTCCGTCTATTGTCTATCTATGTACTCTGATGTTTAGCTTACAGGCGGTAAATTTTTCAGATATTTTGATGAAATTCGGACGACACGGACGTGTTTTCGTCCAAGGACAAATGCTTTCAAATGTGGTTCTGGTCGCACCACTTTTTCGACCATATATCGACCATATGACGCCTAATTTTCAAAAGTCGTTACATGAAGCGAAGTGGTGTAGTGTATGCAGTGGGAGGACTTGGCCGACGACCATATTTCGCTACATATTTTACATTAATTGACATTTTCCATTTCTATGAGACCCTATTGCTTGCTCCTAACAATAGGGCGATATGAGCGTCGTGATGGAGCACGGTAGTGGCGATTTCAAAAGAATTGGACGTGTAAGTGGGGGATAAAGTTGAACCCTGTCCATCATAAACATTGTACGATCTCTTACTGAGAAAATCTTACCGTTCTTTCGCAAATCAAAGAATCGAACACCGATCGTATATCGAGTCATTCCTAAAATTGTTGGGAATTATTGCTATTAGTTTGGCAAAAGTTTATTATTTTATATTCTCGGTCTTTCACTTTCGAATAACAGCGTTAATAAATAGTTTAATTTAATTTTTTTTCAAATTAAAATGGGCCAACACTTTCAGTAACGCTACCAAAAACGAAATATTGAATCTAGTTTGGAAATGCCAGCTTGCCAACAATTTAGTTGCAGTTACTAAAGGATGGAAGCGATGTGGATAATCTATGTGGGTAATCTATTTGATAAGATATCTGACGGCTGTTGTTTGCTGAACTTATAATAAAATAATGATTTTGTGCAACAAAAATTTGACAGATACTCTTTATTTAATTAGAAATGTGTTTAAAATCATGAATATTTTTTCTGGACAGTTCTTAAGCAGTTTCATATCGTTTAAACACTACATGTGACCAAATGCCTGGAATGTTACCCTGCATAAGCATATTTTATTTTCTAAATGTGTACCAAAGCAAATCTTTGCGCTTGTTTGAAAATTGCTTTGACATTTTTCTCTTAACTATCTTAATAGTAATATTTTACTTACAATACCTGCGACTGGAAGTTGTTAAAAGCTATAATCGGTTTGAGGCCACATATCGTGTACTTTGGTAATTGCATCTTGACGCTTCATGATCATAATATGTAACTACGAGATTAAGTAAGAGAAGAGTGCGTTCTATCACACAATACGATGGCGACTCTATGTATGCGTAACAATAATACGCAGTGCACACGCACATATGACACAAAAGACAAACATTTCCCAAACATATGATTTGATTTCTTTTTGCAAACTTACTTAAGCACTTTTGAACTTGAATTGAAATTATTGCTTTCATAAAAAAAAAAAGTTGCAATAACCATAAATTCTTTGGAAACCATCTAGGAGCCACAAACTTATGTGCCATTTAAAGATCACATAATTTATGCATAATTAATTGTCCCTTAAAACTGTTGGGAAGAACGGTCTTTTGCTTACAGTTGGAATTTACGATTTTCTCTTAAATTTATCATGGTTTTTTTTTTTTCCTTGGACTTTACTTGTTGCGAAATTTCAGTTTATTTGTTCTTTACGCTTATTGTGGTTTTTCGTTTGGTTAATACCACACCTGATGCCAGCATCAAAAACCACGCGATGTAACCGACGTGGTATATGGAGCTATAGAAGTTCCAAATGTTCGAGAACGACACCAACACAAAAGCAGTGCCCAGATAATTGTAACCAATACAAGACTTTGCAAACCAAAACATGTAATCAATTATAAGTCGTTTAAGTCCGGTAGCTTCTTTGGCTACCAATTTTTGCCATATATCTTCGACAGTTACGTAAGATGCGGCGCCTAATAGGCAAAAATAGTGACCAGGCCGAAAACCATGCCAATATGCCGAGCAAAGTAATGTGACGGCCGTCCTGCAAAAAAAAATTAGTTTTGTATATGATAGTAAAAACCTTGAGATTCTCCCTTCACCTACCTATATTTTTTACTAGGAAACTGTCTATATATGTTCACTGCTAACCAGTATTGTACACATACATTCCAATGTTTCATCCCTTCGCGCAAGGTGAAGCACTTTTCTACCTCCTTTACACGTATATTAACGATTGTATTGAAATTATACGAGCGTTTATCGGCATCACGTTTTAAATGTAAATATTGCTTGCGGGGACCTTCTCCATTTGTAGCGTCAGATTCTTCAGGGTAAGCGCCAAATCCGGCCATATTGCAAACGCATTCGCTTAAACATAAGCCAGCATATATGCGCATCCGAAATATAAGAAAAGCAGGCCAGATATACCAAAAACGGTAAATGAATGAACGTTCGTAGAACTCCGGTGAAAGTGCATACTAGCGTTAGAAAATAAATTAAAAGTCACATATATTACTTGAAATCGACCAGGACTTACACTTAATGGCCATATATAATCAACCGTCGCATATATCACGGAGTATATGGCAGCAAATTTGAGATTCTCTACAGTGGTTTCAACGCAAGGCGCGTAATCTTTAAACGGTGTTTCAAAATAATCGCGATAAGTACGATAGCGATAATAAGGACCTAAACACGAGAGAAAACAAGGAAGAGTCTTATAAAAACAAGGTTTTTTTAAAACTAATGTAATTTACCTGTGAGTACGCCAATATAATTGAAACTGTATTGAAAAATTCCGATTATGTCAATTGATTGCAATTCTACGTCATAGTCGGAAATTTCCACAAGTTCTTTCTCTGCGGGTTTGTTTCCGCTAAGTTCTTGTTCACGCTGTTTTAACTTTTTCCAAGAGGATGCCTTCTCAAATGCCACACCAGAAACCTTAAGAACAGTTTAGCAATAATAGGATATTTTTGCATACTTCACATATTTTACACTTACCTTTAAAGTCAAGACCATTTGTATCATATTCGTAGGGCCAGGAGGATTAGTGAAGCCGAAGACATGCGCCAAACGGAAAAAGGCTAGGTAAGCAAACATAATTACAAACGTGATCAAATGCGTTTTGCTAAAAAATATGTGAACACAATTAAGACAAATAAAGATAATTTAACGAATCTAACCTGGGATGCACATAAACTACAGCCAGCGCTCCTAGAAAGGCAGAAATAATGCAGTGCAGAATATGCCAACCGGAAACAAAGAAAGCAACGACAAGTCCAAATAATGTACATATCAATTTCCTTTGACTTTCACCCTCAATCTTTTTCACGTACTTTCCAGCACCAACGCAAGACAGCAAGCACAAAACGTAAATTATATCGTCAAAATTCATGATGGCGGCACGTTTTATAAACTTCTAAAAACAATTTTTATTTATTTTGTTTTTCTACACTTAAAATTCTTTTTATATGGACTTTAACCATCTTTGAACATATGAGTCAAAACAATTGTTTTCTAATATGGCAATACTATGAGCGCTAATCTATTACAGCAATGTACATGAAGAAAAAAAAACAAGAAACAAACAGAGAAATAAAAGTAAAATTGGAACATTGCAATAGCAACAACAAGAGCAACCGCTGAATAAGTTATTTTACTTTTATAACAAGTAACTTCAAAAAACAAAAAACAAAGGAAATATATTACTAATAATTTGATAAATATTATTAACCAAAAAAAAAAAAACAAAAAACAAAATAAAAAAAAAAAAGAAAATAAAAGAACTCTACAGCCTCTCCTTTAGTACTTCAAGAAACAACAAGTTTTGTTTTTAAATTATATTCATAAAATCTTCCAAAACAAAAAAACGAAAAACGGTTGTAAAAATTCCAAACAACTGAGAATGAATAAGCGTCCACACATATGTTTACATTTTTCAATAATTTTGCATGTATTTGTATAATCTATGGTGCCTTTAAGGAGTAAGCGTATATATTCTCAATAATTTGTATATTGGTGCACATCGTTAGGTATATGCTCCTTGCTTGATCTCACTGTTGAGATTAATATTATATTATATTATAATATTATATCGTGTTCCTAAAAAGAACCAAGTGAAAGCAACACTAGCATTAATTCCAACATTAGTATAATTATACGAAGGTTATACCTCTCCTTGGAATTTCTCCACAGAACCAATTTTAAGCATTCCTACTTCGGCCTGAACAAAAAATTTGCGCAAAAGTTCAGCTTGTTTTATGTACGGATTCCGGTTCAATGTTCTTACGACACAATCTAACTGTCATTTGGAAAACCTTCGAAAATGAAATAAATGTTATGAAATACTAAATACAACTTACGTGCTTCGCTTCGTAAGGGCTATACCACGACGGCGAGTCTGTTCAAGAACTTATTGATAAAGGTTGTATAAATATTGTATTTTATTTTTTATTTTTTTTCATCAATTCGTTTTTTTGGCATTGTTATTTCTTTGAACTAGCACGAGTACGTCTTAAGTCGTCACTTCTTTGGTAGGTTTACTGTTAATACTGTATCGGGATATTTTTCCATTTCCATTTCGTGAAGGGGAAAATTTCTCGGTATGCAATAAATTTGTATTGGGTGCCTCACAGGATTCATTGGGTGGCCTAAAATTCAATTTTGGGTTTAATGACAACAAGCGCTTTTTACTCACCATCACTGGAACATGCTCCGTCTTGTATGAAAATATAATTCTTATCATTAGGAGTTTTTAATTCTTGCATTGTGGATATTTGCTAACATGTTCGTATTGCAGCGCACTCTCTTAGTAGATAGAGATATTATGTGGATAATTCAAATTTTATTTCGAAGAAATAAGAGGGCGCTGTTAAAAATTCAAATTTGGCGGCTTGAATGTGCAACGATTGGCAGGCTAAAAGTATAAAATGAAATATTTAAGGCAAGAAAGATTTTTTTTTGGATTTTGAAAATTATTTTTATAAATTAATAAAAGAAGCGTTTAGAAAAGTCCATTACATTTTTCAAAATGATATTTACTTTTATGAACTAGTTTATTAAACTTCTTGGTTTTATAAAAGTGATTTTAAAATTTTCAGTTTTGTCTTACGTCATGTATGGTAGCTTCTGCGATAGCTTCTACATATATATATATGTATATGTATATATATATATATGTATACGAAAAACTTTCATTTTAAATTAAGGTAATAATTTTCTTGCTCCGTTCTTTTTGATAATCTTATCATTGCTGTAAATATACTTTTACTCTAACGCACATACACGTGTGCTAACACATAAAATGCAATAAATGCAAATCGCGTAATGAAAACAAAGAAAACGATCTGAGCTCTTTTACATTAAGTGTATAGAAAATATACTGCTCGAGTTGAGCAGCTAATTGCAAGCGATAAATATTCCTACGATACGTTTCTATGAGCTATAATTACTGAAAGCGTAGAAGACAGATTAGGCAGCAGCAGCAGCAGCAGCAACAGCAGCAGTACTAGCATTAGCGAGTATAAGCATAAACAACTAACCAGCATTTTGCTTAATTGTCGCCTCAGTGTTTGTCGTGCTATCTGTTTTAAAAAGGATTATCGTCGAACTGTTATTACCATCACTACTACTGCTGCTCTAGCACTTCTAGCATATATATATATATATATATATATATATATATATGTATATATATATATATAAATGTTTATTCATTCAAACCCGTTTACTTACCAAGGACTAAGAAATATTTATAAACGGTGTCTACTGCTCTTACTTTTGCCTTCTTTTTTTCCTTTACTTATTCCAAATCTTTGAATATTCATTTCATAAGAAAAGGCAAAGTTCGTTTTTATAAGTGATGCCGCAATCGCAACAAATATTCAACTTATTTGTGTTGCTTGCAAAATGCCCGATAAGCTGCCAGCGGAACTAAAGAAATATGTTTCTGCATTTTTTTTCGGAATATTTATTTATTTAAAACTGAAAGAGAGATTATACAAGTGAAATATACATTCATTTTCATTAAGAAAATTGAAAAAAAAAATGGGAAAGTTAGACGCGGCCTGAAGAGGATCCTAGATACTAGATAGAAATTCATCGTGAATTGTATCATCGAAAATTAAGAACGACATCTACTGCTGTAGGGTGACAAATCGAGGTTGATTTGTAGTGTTGATCTGGATATGAATGTGCAAAATTCTGAAATCATGTTTCCTCTCTTATGCGCTTTTGCTACCGACCAAGGGCTCTCGATTGCTAAAGATTCTTGAGTATTCTGCTTTCTCTCTCTTCTTTTTTTTTGATAGACTTTGAAATAAATGTGTTACGTTATATAGTAGGAAGAAAGCTGTGCTTTGGTTGCACTCAACCAAAATCTAGTGAAATACCAAAGCAAGATTGAAGAGAGCACCTGCTCTTTCAAAAGCTAAAAGACAAAGTTGCCTACCGCCAACAAATTAGCGAGAAATTGCAGGGGGAAAGACCGAACAAGATAGTGCACTAAGTTTGCTTCATGCAAAATAAAGGCGTGGCAATTGAATGTGAACCTGTGATGAATATATTCAACAAGTTTTGCGCCAATACTTGTCATGTGTTGTGGGACACAATTTTTTATCTACGGGGCGTTGAGCACTGACGTTTTAAAGTTTCGTCAACAGAAACCAACAGTAGACGTAGATGGCAGATCAGTGGGATCTGTACAGAACTTCGAAATTTCATGCGTTTGTTGAATACAATTGTTCTTGGTTTCAATACAACTTAGTGTGTTTACACAAAATGAATGAAACACGTTTGAATATTATCGCAAATACCCTGTACACCCAAACTTTATTACATTTATTTCGACGTTTTACTCATTTATATGACAAACGCAATGGTAATCTAATTCAAACTTTTAGCCTTCCTCGCCAAAATGACGCTTTATATGTGTCTTATGGCAGACATTAAGTTTCCATGGGATTTGTTGTTGCCGTGAGCGTTTACGCACCAGACAGCAGATAGGTAGAGGGCGGTAGGCAGACAAATAGAAGGCGGACATGTAGGCAGAAGACAGGCGCAAAGAACACAAGCAAGCAGAAGACGGAAAGACGGACACGCGTATGGGTGCGCGAGCGTTACTTAATGGGCGCATAAGCTCAAGCCGATCAACAATATGCCTGCTTTAGGGAATCGTATTCTGGGTGTTAGAAGGAGGCAGACAGATCAAGCAAATCCTTATTCTTTCCTGACGGACGTACAAAGTGATTCCAACCACGACAGGTGAGTGTGCACGCAAATTTAGTTATATCTGATATTGCTGGAAATCGCAGGGTAAACGAACATGTAAACGAATTGTTGATAAAGCCTCGCTCGGGCGCTTTGATCGTAGAAAATTCCCGAAATGATTTCAGTAGTTATACAACCTTTTTTTTGATCATGGGTTGTCCTTTAGACTGGCGGGCACATGATGGCATGGAAGGGCTGTAGGCAGCGAAAGGAGGAGTAATATTTGTTGAAAGTGGAAACATCTGGATCGATATCGGTAAATATTATTCGCGGGGCGGGCAGTGCGGTTGAAACAAGCTGAGAAATTTTGTGCTAAACGCAGAGGGGGCCACGTAAGCCAATTAGAAGATGATTTTTCTTTTTGCTTTTTATTGGCCAAGCTTCTGTCCATCTTTGCAATGATATGAAACAGTTATGTCCGAAACAATTTCTTCCGATTCAGCTTGGGTATTTCCACTTCGAGAAGAGGTGCGGAAAAGACAGTTTTTTTCGGTGAGATGAAACACTAGAACAGGAAAAATAAATTATTACTTACATACCAGAAGGTATCGAACTAATCATCAGGCGCATCTGAACGTCCAATGTTGAAATCGTCTTGCGGCCATCATTCTCCAAATAATCGTCGCTTCTAATCGTATACATATTTTCTTTTGATAATAACATCTTCTTGTGAACTATTAATGGGACGATTCGCTGCGTTGTAAAGAAGAAGAAAAGGCTCAATGTGAACCCGATTCATTTTGTCTGAGCCAGGAGTGTGTTTAGATTGTGGCGATTAATAATACTTTTAAGCAATATAAACTTGGTAACCTTGTCAGTGTGTACACGCTTTTTATGATAACTCTCTTGAAGACCATAAGCTTGCCTGGATATATTTCCAGTAGCTAGGAATAGAAATAAGAACGGACCACGCCTTCTTTTGAGGAGATGTAATTATTAAAATCTTTCCCATCGACGATTACATTTATCAAGTATCCCAACTTACCGCTTCTTCACAAGATTACTGGTTAGCACTTGATTTTACTTGATAATGACATAATTTCGTAAACTATTGAATTCCAACACCTTAGTCAGCCTGATGAAATGGCTGATGAATTTCGGCTCCCGCGTCCGGATTTTAGAGAGTCAGTATTGCTATGTGGAAAAGTACCTGACCTTTTATCCCATAGTTGCGAGCTGTTCGTCTTAAAGGATGTGCATATACTTATACTCTCTGGCTTAAATGTTCGATGAGGGCATAAGAATAAGAAGG